CCCAAAGAAATCTTTACATAAAATTCGACTCTCCACTCTCAAAGATTCCAGCTCCTCATCTCCTCAAATCTTTCATGGATCATAATTTCTGTAGCATATGCACGTGCCTCTTCTACTGGGTTTCAGCCACAGCACACTCGAGGAGAGCTGCAACCCCCAGGACACAGCGAATGTTCCAGGCATATGGAAATTGCAGGCGCACATCTAAAGGCTGGAAGCAGTGGCAGTATTGGTTTGATAGGTTTGTCACCTCAAGACGTCCTTCCTGGCTGACGGAGAAATTGAATGTGCGCCGAAGATTAAGCAGTCACTAAGTGGAGGGGTGTACATCGGTGAATCCCCGCTTCGGGGAACTGACATCTGTGCTATTGGCTGCCGTCATAAGGATTCACGTGGACTGCAGGTAAAGTGACCCACGGCACACCTCCATCCTTTTGCCCCTTCTCTATCGGTGAGACCATTTAGAAGTGACCTTCTGGTGCCCTGGCAAAATGGCCCAGGGTGAGTCGATTCATTTGCCCAGTGAGTTTACATCAAATGAATCTCTGGTCAAGCCTGATCTGGATAACGGGCGGGAACTCTCTCTCCTTTCATGCCATCTCCATTGGAGCAGGCCCAGGCCAATGAACCATGAAGGCTTCTCCTGGGAGAATCTGTGCTCATCTTGCGCCCTTGGGGGCTAAGTTGAAGACGCACACTCTGTGCAGTTTGCAGAGTGCTCAGCACTGTCGTCTGGCAGAGAAGCCAGGATGCCACCTGGTTCCCAGCCACTGCAACCCAGATGTGGATTGGAAGGCCGGAGAGGTGAAGGCGTCTTTATAGCTAGAAGTGGCCGGGTCCCCTAACCTCCCTGGAGCTCAGTGTCCTCTCTTATGTCCCTGGTCATTTCCCAACATATTTGTAAACTCAGCCCTCAGATCCTCTGCTCCTCACGGTTGCCCAGGGAGCTGTGAGCTCTTGGGCAGAGAAAAAGATGTAGGCAGCGTTACAAGGCACATCAGTGTCTCGCGGCATCGGTTCCCATGCAAAAATGGCAGCAAATTCTCCACCCGGTTGTCTGTAGGGCCCTTTTGCAATGCAATTTTGCCACTTCTCCCATCAGAGTGGGGTCTACTTCCCAGCCTGACTCTGGGCCACGTTGGATTTGCTCTGGACAATGGGATAGAAAGCAACCTGATGGACGCAGGGGCTGCCAAGCACATGTGCCCTGCGGTTTGTCGGGTTGTCGGTCCCTCTGCCTTGGAGCTGAGCTGCTGTGTGTGAAGCAGCCCAGGCTTAAGCCAGTCACCTTGTTCCCTGGGCAACAGGGCTCCCGCTGCCAGGCGGTGGGTAAAGACATCCTAGGCCACTCAGCCGTCCACCTTGCAGAGACTAAACCGTTGAGTGGCTCAGAAGAGAGGAGCTGTCAGCCACGATGTGATTTTGAACCCATCGTGAACAAACGGGTTGCTTGCTTACCCACTAAGACTCTGGGTTGGTCTGTTCAGTAGCAAAAGCTAAGGATGCACTCCTTCTCACATGGGCTATGTTCAAAGTGTCATCTCCGGGAGGCCTCCGTATTAACCTCAGCTCAAACAGCATCACTCTCGGGCACTTCATCACTTGATCTTTCATTTATAGGCACTCGATGGCACCGTGGACAATAATATTCTTGCTATTTGTTAGTTTTCATCAGTTTCCCGCACTAAATTGGGAAGTCCTGAGCCAGAACCTGTTGTTTTGTTCACTGCTGTTCCTCAGAGCTAAAACCTGTGATTGATAGAAGCTCAATGACGTCTTGTACAGATTTAAGCACACGATTGATTGAAAAGTTCAGTAGATATCTGCAGGTAATCAGGCAAAATTCAAAACTATTAGGTCACCAATTCACGCCAATGCTTTCGTCCTTGCCAATTTCCGGTTCCTCTGATTGGGACATCCTGCCTCTGCCTCAAGTCTGCCTGTGTTTGTCCCAAGGACCATACTGCTTCTGGCTGTTCGGGACAGCCCAGCGTGCCTCAGCACAGACCCCACACCTTGTCCTCATGGCTCTGGCCACATGTCCGGCATTGCCATTCAGAGGCCTGGCCCCGGAGAAAGGGGCCCAGCCGTCAGCCTCTTGAGCAACCCCTGTCCTCTCCCTCCCAACTTCCTGAGCTTTCTCTCCGCCCCACCCCTGGATTCCTGGTACCTCGAGGCTGCTGCACTGGGAGAAACTCAGCCTGCTGCCATACTGCCTAGATTTTCAAATCAACTTTTTTTCCTTTTACATTTTAAAGTTTTGGATTTAGAATAAATCTAAGTGTTCATCCAAGGAGGTAATGTTTCTTTCTTCTCTAAAAGGCTGTTATTAAATTGATGGATGATGTGTCTTACAATTGCTGGCATCTTAAAACTGAAGAAATTCAGCAATTCAACACTGGGATGTTTATGGAACTAAGCTGACTGAGGACTACCACAAGAGAACCTTTTATTTCTTTCCAAAAGCAATTACCTTTCTGTCCTAGAAATGGAGCTGCCTCCATAGCAGAGCAGCCGCCCAACCCAGCGAGCAGAGAGAATTGCTGAAGAATTTATAGCTGGCAGTGAAAAGAGGCCCTACAGACACACTCAGGGATATCTACACGAATTTCTTGCCCTGTCCATAAAAATCCCTGGAAACAGTGACCAACCCAGTAGCAATGTGCATCCCTCGTGGCTAGATTATGGTCTCTAAATACCATTTCCCACTAAAAGAAATCAGGGCTTCTTGGGGAAATGGCTGATTCCAGGTCTGGGACAAGAAATATAGAAGCTGAGCCTGGAACATCCTGTCACATCAAAAGGCAAGAAAGTTGTCAGAGGTGAGTATGTCAAAAGGACTCAGGAGCTCCCAGTGTCCAAGAGGGGACCATTTGAGCATCAGTAAGGACTAAAACCCTTCAAACACAGTACTGTAAGTTTAAACCCATACATGTATAATAACTCAAAAACAAACAGACAAATGTTTTAGAAGACGCTAGAGAAACAGTTTGTTGTTTTGAAAATTGAAGGAACAAAGGCTGCCTTTCCTGTTTCAATTGTACCGCAGAGTAACCAAATAATTGAGGATAATTTTCTCTTTACTGCAGTAATTTCAGCAAATAAATGAAAACAGGAATGATACGACTACAGTGGTACCATTCTGTAATCTCTGATGAATTAGCGGACTTAAGCGCGGAGGAGAACTGGCCGCCATCATCACAAAGAGCTTGAAAACCGGACACTATACACATCCTGACGCACACACACATCATCCACGTGGTCATCTTGCCCCAGTGCTCAAACCTCAATCTGATCTGGCCTCTAGATCTAATTAACAATTTACCAGAAATACAGGGGACTGATGAACCAGTTTAGATGCAACCAGCAAAATCCACTTGGTTTCTTCAACAGACATAAATTTATATGAAAAAAAAAAAAAAGAGAGAAAAAGATGGAAGGCAACTAGAGACTGCACAAGGTTTAAGAGACGTGTCAACCGATCCCAACGCACGGGCCTGTGCGGATCTCAATTCAAGTGAGCTCACCGCTAACAAAGCGGGAGGGAGACTGGCAGGGGATCACGGACCTGCTGGGGGTCTGGTAATCTCAGGAATCACTGTTAACTTTTTAAAGTATAACAGTGGTACTGCGATTATGTTTTCTTTTTAAAGTTCTTATTGCTTAGAGATACACCCTGTAATATGTAGAGATGAAATGCTGCCAGGCCTGGCATTTGCCGCCCGATGATCGGGACAAAGGGGTGGTAAGAGGATGGGTGCATGAACACGCTGGGCCATGTGTTGATCACTTCTGTAGCTGGGCAGGAGCTGGGTACATGGGTTTCAAGTCTAAGTCATCAGGAAGGTGACGGGCCAGGATCCGGGGGCTCAGAGCAGCCCATGAGCAGTCAATGACGGTAGGCAGGGGTGAGGGCCACGGTTCAGGGCCACCTTAAAGAAGAGCAAGAAGGAGCCCTCTACTGACCCCATGCACGGCCCCAGGCATGAGGGCCAAGGGGTGGGCTGCAATGTGACAATCCCCTTCCCAACCCCCCACCAGGGGAATTATGGGGCTCATTTCACTTTGAAGGAAACCAAGAAGGGGGGACAGTATGACTCAGTGGTTAGGTACATGGGTATTGGTGTCACATTCAGATCATGACTCTGCCACTTAATTGGCCGGGGTGGCCTCTGGCCAGTTTTAGCCTCCCTATATCTCAGTTTCCTCATCAGTAAAGTAGGGGTGATGACACCACTTTCCTCATGGGGCTGTTTTAGGCTTAAATGAATGCACATCTGTAACTTGCTTAACATAGTCCAGTGCCTGGCATTTAATAAGTGCTTAATAAATGGCAGCTATAGAAGCAGTTACTATTGTTACCATTACTGTTATGATTGGAGAGGTTAAAAGACTTACTCAATGGTTGGCGTGGGGCAGAGAGGGATTTGAACTCTCATGACTCTGACTCCCCGAGACTCTCGCTAGCACCTCCAGGCAATGACCAGGCCCTGCAGCTGCCCAGCACGGGGCCTGAACGCCGGCCCGTCGGTCACAGGGTCCCTGAGGATCAGTGCTATTGCTCAGGCTTGTTCTCGCATCGACCGGATCCAACCTTGGCTTATGAAATCTGACAAGCGCAGGGGAAAGTGTAGCTGCACCTGCCTGTGGAGACTTGCTCAGCGATCACCTCCAGCCCCAGCGCCCCAGAGGCCTGAGTCACTCGTGTGTAGACGCGGGGCCGTCCACGGTGGAGGTTTACAGGCGGCTGCTGTGTGTGAGGCCCTGCGCTCGGTACAGTGGAGAGAACAAACCACAGCCGTGTCTGGAAGCACGAAGACCTGCCTTTGAACCCAGCCTACCACTGCAAGCTGTGTGGCCCTGGGACGCTCTCCCCCCTTTCCACAGGGCGGCCAGGAGAGGTGACATGCCATTTGATGTTTGTGTCTGACGTCTAAGACGCTGGAAAGGGTCCCTGACATCCTGCGGCCATGAAAGCCGACCTTCTGATAGCCACTCACTTGTCCAGGGTCCGGGAGTCGTCGGTGTACTCGGGGAGGTCATTTAAGTCTCGGGGGGAGGCGGAGATCTGGTGCAGGAGGATAGGCAAGGCCTGGCCGTCCTTGCCCACCACTTCCAGGCCAGTGAGCCCCAGGTAGTGGAGGTCCCCCCAGGAGGCGGAGAAGTTCAGCTGAAGGCCTGCAACAGGAAGAAGAGTGGCCCATCAGCTCCAGACACTCCGCAGGAGGTATCTAAGACGGTGACAGGAAGAGGAGTGACCTTCAGCCTCCTTCTATCAACTTGAACCCAGACTGAAAGTGACTCGAGGGTGGGCTCTGCACCTTTCCTCTCGGTGGCCTCAGGCCTAGGCCACCGCTGATGCTCAAGAAATGTCTGCAGGCTGAAGGGACTAGTGTTTTTCAAACCTACACACGGCCTTCTCTTTACCTATCAGATCGTGCCACCCACCCCACACTGAACACCCTTGTGCCACTTCTCATGCTGTTTGGCCAACAGGGCATTCTCCATCTGACCTCCACCACTTCTCCTGTCTCATTATGTACCAGGGACCCTGGGCCTACTCAGACTGTCTTCCAGTTGCTCATTCATGCTCCTCTCTCCCACCACAGGGCCTTTGCACATGCTGCTCCCTCCCTCTGGAACTTACCCTTCAGCTCCCAGCTCCCTTCCTCGGGGAAGCCCTCCTGACTTATTTCCCAGGTCAAAGCTCCCTTTGCAGCCTGCCATGCCCCTGGGCACTTCCTCTTCCAAGCCCTGGTCACCACTGTAATCTCGTGATCTGGCATCTTCCCTGCCAGCTGGTTAACTCCTGGAGGGAGTAACCCCACCCGTTTTTCTAGACCCTTGTGTCCTCAGAGCCTGGCACAGTGCCTAGCACATAGAAGGAGCTCGGTACAGATGGACTAATTGGTTTTTTATTTGTTAATTGCTTATTTATCAAGAGAAACTACTCCTTAGCCCACATACTCATGTCTCATAGCTCCGGAACACAGGTCGGTGACAAACTCCTGTGCAACTCAACCCAAAGAAATTCTTTACATTCAAAAATCACTCTCCACTCTCAAAGATTCCAGCTTTCCTCATCTCCTCAAAATCTTTCATGGAATCATAATTTCTGTAGCAATATGCACATGCCTCCTTCTACTCGGTTCAGCCACAGCACACTCAGAGAGAGCTGCAACCCCCAGGGACACAGCGAATGTTCCAGCACTATGAAATTGCAGGCGCACATCTAAGGCACTGGAAGCAGTGGCAGTTATTGTCCTTGATAGGTTTGTCAACCTCAAGACGTCCTTCCCTGGCTGACGGAGAAATGAACTGCCCGAATGATTAAGCAAGTCACTAAGTGGAGGCGGTTACATCGGTGAACCCCGACGTCGGGAACTGACATCCTGTGCTAATTGGCTGCCGTCATAAGGATTCACGTGGACTCAGCGTAAAGTGACCCACGGCGACACCTCCATCCTTTTGCCCCTGCTCTATCGGAGACCATTTAGAAGTGACCTTCTGTGGCCCTGGGGCAAAATGGCCCAGGTGAGTCATTCATTTGCCCAGAGAGTTTACATCAAATGAATCTCTGGTCAAGCCCTGTCTGATAATGGGTGGAACTTCTCTCTCCTTAATGGCCATCTCCCATTGGAGCAGGCCCAGGCCCAATGAACCAATGAACGCTTCTACCTGGGAGAATCTGTCGCTCATCTTAGCGCCCTTTTGGGCGGCTGAGTTGAAAAGACGCACACTCTGTGCAGTTTGCAGAGTGCCAGCACTGTACGTCTGGCAGAGGAAGCCAGGATGCCACCTGGTCCCAGTCCACTGCAACCCAGATGGGGATCTGGCCGGAGAGGTGAAAGGGCATCTTTATAGCTAGGAAGTGGGGCCGGGTCGCCTAACCTCCCTGGAGCTCAGTGTCCTTCCTCTCTTATGTCCCTGTCATTTCCCAACATACTTTTTGTAACTCAGCCCTCAGATCCTTCTGCTCCTCACAGTGCCCAGGGAGCTGTGAGCATCTCGGGGGCAGAGGAAAAAGATGTGAGGCAAGCGTGGTACCAAGCACATCAGTGTCTCGCGGCATCGGTCCCATGCAAAATGGCAACAAATTCCTCCCACCCCAGTGTCTGTAGGGGCCCTTTTGCAATGCAATTTTGCCACTTCTCCCATCCAGAGGTGGGGTCTACTTCCCCAGCCCTGACTCTGGGCCACGTGATTTGCTCTGGACAATGGGATAGAAGCAAACCTGATGGAAGCAGGGGCTGCCAAGCACATGTGCCCTGCGGTTTGTCGTCCCTCTGCACTTGGAGCTGAGACTGCTGTGTGTGAAGCAGCCCAGCTAAGCCAGTCACCTGTCACCTGGGCCAACAGCCTCCCAGCTGCCAGGCCGGTGGGTAAAGACATCCTAGGCCACTCAGCTCAGTCCACCTGCCAGAGGACTAGACACGTGAGTGGCTCAGAAGAGAGGAGCTGTCCAGCCACGATGCTGAATTTTGAACCCATCGTGAACAAACGGTGCTTGTTACCCACTAAACTCTGGGTTGGTCTGTTCAGTAGCAAAAGCTAAGTGATGCACTCCTTCTCATCATGGGTCTATGTTCAAATGTCATCTCCGGAGAGGCCTCCCCTAATAACCTCAGCTCAAACAACATCACTCTCGACACTTCACTCCACTTGATCTTTCATTTATAGCACTCGATGCAACCTGACAATATATTCTATGCTTATTTGTTAGTTTTCATCAGTTTCCCGCACTAAATTGGAAGCTTCCTGAGGCCAGAACCCTGTTGGTTTTGTTCACTGCTGTATCCTCAGAGCCTAAAACTGTGATTGATAGAAGCTCAATGACGGTTCTTGTACAGATTTTAAGCACACGATTGATTGAAAAGTTCAGTAGATATCACCATCCCGCAGGTAGATCAGGCAAAATCAAACTATTAGGTTTCACCAAATTCACAGCCAATGCTAAACAAATATTTATTGCTCATTTACTATGTATCAGACCCTGTTTTTGGCAATGGAAGAGCAGGGATAAACGACACAGCAAAGTCTCTGAACTAAAGGAGCTTTCATTCTATCAAAGACCATCAATAAACACATAATGACAAATAAATGCTATAGTTCCACAGTATGATGAATACCAAGAAGAAAATAAAATAGCAATGGGATAGAGCAAGGGCTGTCCTGAGGAGGTGACATCTGAGCTAAGACCTGGGTGTTGAGAAGGAGCCTGCCATGCTTTTTCAATCCTAGAAGAAGAACATTCTAGGCTGAGAGGTGAACAAATCTGACCTATAGCTAGAAGCAAGTGGCCAAGGGAGAAAGTAGAGGAAAATGAGATCAGAAAGCTAGGCAGGGGCTAGATCACAATGAGAGGTTTTAATTTTCCTCTCTGCAATGGGAAGCTACTGGCAGGTTACATTTTTAAGCAGGGAGTGACATGATCTGCTTTGTGTTCTTATTTTTTAATTTTCTTTCCTGAGACACGGTCTCAGTCTGCTGCCCAGGCTAGAGTGCAGTGGCACAATCATAGCTCATTGCAACCTTGAACTCCTGGGCTCCAGAAATCCTCCTGCCTCAGCTTCCTGAGTAGCTGGGACTACAGGCATAAGCCATTCGTGCCTGGCTAATTTTTTTTTATTTTTAAAAGAGATGGAATCTTGCTATGTTGCTCAGGCTGGTCTCAAACTTCTGAGCTCAAGCATTCCTCCCTCCTCAGCCTCCCAAAGTGCTGAGATTACAGGTGTGAGCCCCCATGGCTGGCTGACTTGCATGCTAGAAAGCTCACTGCAGCTGGACTCAGGTGGGAGACAGGGGAGGAAGCTGTCATAGTACGATGGCCTGGGCGAGTGTGCTAGTGGTGGAAACAGGGGAGAAGTGGACAGGCTTAGGATCTGTTTTGGAGACGGCATTGCCAGGATGCTCAATGACCCAGATACAGAAAAAAGGGAAAGAGAAGTCTTTGACCCCGGTGACAGAGTGGCTGTGGGTACTGTTCCTGAGATGGGAAAGGCCTGAAGGTGGAGGAGGACGTGGATTTGGAAATCCACTTCTAAGAGTGAGAGCGAAACACCACCTCCCCTTGTGAAAGCAAAAGAGATGGCGGCCCAGCTCTCAAGCCTGCACTGTCTTTGTTTGCCTGGCAAGCTGCGCTACGATGCCATCGAATTTGGGGCAGATCCGAAAAGTGATTACTCTCCTTTTTTGAGCTAATACCCAACGTTCCATATTCATTTTCCTCTGCTGTATCAATTAGTATTTATACAAATGGAAATTAATTTTGTTATTTCTCTCCCATGTTTCAGCCCTCTCAGCTCCTTTCTTATTCATCACTGCTGATATTTGCAAAACTTCCAAAATTAGTGTCATCTGCAAATTAGCAAGTCACATCTCCGCTTTCAAAACATTAATAGGATTGGCCGTATTTACCAACCCCGGCACACTGCCCGGGGTCACTTTATTGAAGCTCCCCATCTGCACGGGCAGGGGAAGTGGGCTGAGGATTTGGGGTACAGTGAGGAAAAAGGCAAAGGTTCAGAGAGGACAGATGCAGGAATCGCAGGCCTCAAAACACACGCGGAGCATGCTCAGCTGAGAGGCGCTCCTGCCTTCCTGCTGAGAGCAGGAGGGAATTGAAATCACACTTTTCCTGGTAGTGAAAAGGTCTCTGAGCTCTACTCCAGGGCGAAATTCCCAAAGGCACTGAAATGACATCTCTGGGAAAGGTCGGGAGACTTTCCCAGCGGGAAGCACATGTAGAGACAGCATCATCAGAGGATGGGGACGGGGACGGGGACGGCCTGCCCCTGCCCGGCCAGCACTCCCGCCTGCCTGCCTTCTTCCTCAGGTCACGTGGCGGTCTCACCTCCTGAGAACTGCCCAGTGCTCAGGCCACACCGTCTGGGTGGCTGACCCATCGCCCTGGGCTCCAGACGTGGGCCTGTGACCCCTGTCTTCCATCTGCCACGGCCACCCACCACGGTGAGTCACAGTGATGGGTTTCAGGGGGGGCACCTGGCCCAAGCCAGGCCCCGAGACTTCATTCTGAGACAGTTATTGGACCTACTGGGAAAACAGAAGTTCTCTTTTATCTGGGGCTTCTGGGTAGAAGCTAGATAAACCAGAGCTTCCAGGAGTTTCTACGTGGACAGGACTGAGTGGGAGAGGGGCAGTGGTGGGGGGGACAAGACAGAAAGAAGGAGAGAGACACCAAGTCTCGATGCCTTCTCTTTCGTATCTGGATCCAGCTTTGTGGGAAACTAGCGACCCCTAACTTTTAGTAGCACAAGCCAAGAAATTGCCTTTTTTGCTTAACTCAGTTTGAATTCAATTTCCATTCATTGTTCACCCAAAAAAAAGAAGAATGCTGATGAACTTAGGGAACACCAAACTGAATAAAAACTGATTGCTGTCTTTTGGAACCTCGCAGCTTCATGGGGGATGCTGATTCTTGCATAAAGAGAGGTAGCCTTGAAGGTGGCCTGTAATCTCAGCATTCTGGGAGACCGAGGCAGGAATATGGCTTGAGGCCAGGAGTTCGAGATTAGCCTGGGCAACATAGTAAGACCCTGTCTCTACAAAAAATTAAAAAAAAAAATTAGCCGGGCATGGTGGCACGAGCCTGTAGTCCCAAGTACTCAGGAGGCTGAGGCAGGAGGATCGCTTGAGCCCAGGAGCTCAAGGCTACAGTGAGCTATGATGGCACCACTGCACTCCAGCTTGGGAAACAGAAGGAGACTCTGTCTCTAACAAAAAAAAGGGATGTGGAGCACATCCAGGCACTGCCCAGACCCCCATCCCACCCCCAGGACCAAAGGACTTAGTCCTCCAGTGGCCGGGAGTGCTGACAGCCAGCAGCTCATCAATGGGCCCCCACCATGACTGCGCGTGGCTGAAGACAGTCGCCTGCGGAAGGCCGTGCTCCTCCTCAGGGACAGCCCACACCCAACGCTGTGCTGACGCAGACGGGTGAAGACCGGCCTTCTCCCCAACTCAGACAACCCCGAGCGCCTTCCCAGTCCCCAAGCTCCGGTGGCGCTGGCTGAGGCCTCAGGGGTGGCCGCACCGCAGACCGGCTTCTCCCTCTGCCCAGTCCTGCCTCCTGCCCTTCCCCTGAGAGCTCGTCCCAGGAGACTCGTCTCAGAGTCTGCTCTAGGGCCCCGAGCAGCGCCAGGTGGGTGCGCAGGGCTGGCATCCCACGCCGAGGACGCGGCTTGCACAGGAGCCTGTGGGTGGCGTGGGAGGCGCGTGACAGGGGCTAGCACCAGAACCCACGGCGGTGCTCCAGCTTCATTCTGAAGAGGAAGCTGGGGACGGGGGCAGAGGGAGCACCACAGTGTCACATCTTTTGTTTTCAAAGATTAGCTGGAAGCAGGTGACAGGCACGGGGGCAGGAAGGGTCAGGAGGTGAGGCTGCAGGGGCCTTGTGAACAGGGTATGGCGGGGAGGAGGTCGCAGTCAGCCGTGACCCCAGGCCCGAGGCCTGCCCGGGACGGACGCTGACGTGCATGGTGTGGATTAAGATGGAACTGTCTGGAAGGGTAAGTGGAAAAGGAAGACAGATGAGGGGACAGGTAGAGACCCAGATGGGGTCTACTCAGAGGTCACAAACTGGCAGCTGGCTGGCCAGACACACAATATGTGTTTTATTTGGCTCATGCGATATTTTAAAACACGAGAAAATTAGCCACCAACTTAAGGATCAGGAGATGTCACATAAAAGTCTGGATCTCCGACTTCTGAGACGTCGGAAGACCCGGTACCCTGGGCCCGCCCGTGGCGCACCTGCCCTGCGGTGGGGTTTGAAGAGACAGCCTGAACCACTGCACTGACAGGTGCTTCGAGTCTCTTCTGGCTCTTACGTCCTCCTGTTCTATACTTTCTGGGCGCCAGCTACAGCCTCCTGGGTCAGGGTCACAGCTAACAAGTAGGGTGCCTGCATGCAAAATGCAAAAATGCCCCTCTGGGAGGCAAATGGGAAAGAGTGACCCCTCCCCTGGGATGGCGCAGCCCTGTTACGCCCAGTGAGCCAAGCGCCTGCTGGTTTTAGCTCCTACTTGCCCCATGGCCTGGTGTCTCTGAACAGTGTATGACCTGCACGACTGTCTAAGGAAACCCTGTCCCAAGTGACCACAACTCTCCCCAGCCCATAAAAGTCCTCCTCCCACCTGACACTGTCCCAGGAGCCGGTACTCACAGATCCCATGGTAGATGCCTGGCTCTGGCGTGGTGAATTCAGGGACAGGGGGACTGGGTGGCAGCTCCAGCTCCAGGACCTGCACACGGGTTGGGGGAGAAGCAGAGGAAAAAGGTGGTGGCTTTAGTGATACCCACATAGCTGGCTGGTTGTTTTTCCAGATACTCCTGCCTCCCTGCCCCCCCATGCCCAGGTAAGTCCTGTGTCTTTTCTGGTTTTTATTTGTTTGTTTGGTTTTTTTTGAGATAGAGTCTTGCTTTGTTGCCTAGGCTAGAGTGAGTGCCACGACATCAGCCTAGCTCACAGCAACCTCAAACTCCTGGGCTCAAGCGATCCTCCTGGCATGCACCACCATGCCCGGCTGATTTTTTATATCTATATCTATATCTATCTATATCTATATCTATATCTATATCTATATCTATATCTATATCTATATCTATATCTATATTAGTTGGCCAATTAATTTCTTTCTATTTTTATAGTAGAGACAGGGTCTCACTCTTGCTCAGGCTGGTTTTGAACTCCTGACCTTGAGCAATCCACCTGCCTCAGCCTCCCAGAGTGCTAGGATTACAGGTGTGAGCCACCGCGCCCGGCCTGTGTCTTTTCATGGATTTCCTGCCTTTGTGGAAGCTCTGGGACTAGTGAGATGGGCAGGCCCAGAGAGCCTCGTGTCTGAATCCCGCCAGCAACCCCTGTTGGTGGGGGAGGGGCTGGATGCTAATAGCTAACATGTTGAGATTTTCTTGAATAGGGAAGGACTCAATAAATGTTTATCTAGTGAGAAGGAAGGAAGGAGGGGAGGGAAGGAGGGAGTTTAGAGAGGGAAAAAGGAGGAATTCAAACCCCAGGGAGTGGTTCTCAGCCTGGGCTGTTCACTGAATCAGAACATCTATGGGTGGGGCCCAGGCATCTGCATTTTTAAAGCTCGCTTGGGTGGCCAGGATAAAGAATCCTGGTCTATATATAGACAGAGTGGAGCTGCTGTGACACGCCACTTCTTGGGTCTCATGTATAAACTATTTGCTCATTATCTCTCCGTACCATAAATTAGGGCAAAAGTGCCTCTACTACTTTACAGCCAGGAAGCTGGGAAGTGAAAAGATGTTGCTGATCTTCCATGACACGGACAGAGGGCTCCCTCCCTGTCCTCTCAGGGTGGGTCCCGGCAGAGTGGCTTACAAGGGCCTTTGTCATTTGGAAAATAGTTTCTGCTTAAAGGGCTGCCATGTGGGTGAAACACAATAATGACATCGTGCACCCTGCTTGGATCACGATACGCGTTCAAGAAACCATGGCCATGATGATCGCTGTTTTAATTGTAGCTCTGCCTGTTAAAGGCATTTCTGGGCCTTCCATCAAAAACAACAGTGAGTGATCACAACGCAACCCAGAGCACAGATTCCCCCGAGACTGCCAACCTCTAAGTTACAGAGATGACACAGAGCTGATTTCTCCAGGCTTTGATTAAAATTTGAATACTTTCTTTACTTCAGCTAAAAAAAAAATAATAAAAATAAGAAATAATTAGAAAATGAAATATGACATCCAGGACAAAACAACGAAGTAGAAAAATGGGAAATGTCAAAACAGTGGCACCAGCAGCTTAAGGGACATCCATCTTCATTGTCCCGGCTCTACTCTGAGTCAGGGGAAGAGACCTACCCAGGGGTCCCCCAGGCCCCGGGCCCTACCGGGTCACCAGCCCACAGGCCGGCCTGGGTGAAGGGCCGCTCGTCCCTGTCGCCGTCGGCTGTGCTGGGCCTCCTCAGCGCCTCCTCGTACTGCAGGCTGCCCAGGCCCTCCACGTCGATGTCAAACATCTCATCGGAACAGAATATGGCCTCGAGGATGTCGTCGTCGGTCGTGAATAAGATCGTGTCTCCAAAGTGCTCTGGGGCTGGTGGGTTACCAAGAAGACGGAAGGGTCAGCTCACCCCAAATCCCAGTGATTTGTAGGTCAATAACCTAAACTCATTAACCTCTGTGCTGCACAATCCCAAACCACTAACCACGATTGATCTGTGTAAGTGAACCTTATTATTCATCACATGGTTGCAGACGGAATTCATGCACGGCAAGAACCACATAGATCCAAGGAAGGGACCTAATCTAAGGAGAATCACTGTGATCTGTCATCCAGCAAGTGACATTTCTTTGGTGTGGGCGAGGCAGAGTAACAGCTGTGGGTGCCCCACCCAGATCCCTGCTGCTCCTTTCTGCAGAGCGCCTTGCCTAGGAGGGTGTGGGAGTGACGCCTCCAATCCAGGCCGGCGGCCGGGCTCCCATGACCCACTGGGCTGTGGGCTGCAGCACTCTGCTCCTTTGCCTCAAGGCAGGAAAGACCCTGTGATTTATGCCCCAGAGCTCCCCTGGGATCGGGCTGAGGCTGAGCTTCCCCTGAACTATCCTTGCCTCAGCGCCCCAGGTTTCTCCTAAAGACTCCCCCAATGAGTCACTCACCAAAGAATCCCTTGTCAGACTGAAATTCTAGGAAGCTAAGCCAGGTACCTAATGGGGGAGTTTGGGGAGTTTTTGTTTGTTTCCTTTGTTTCGTTTTGAGACAGTGTCTTGCTCTGTCACCCCAGCTAGAGTATGGTGGGGTCATCATAGTTCACAGCAACCTCAAACTTACGGGCTCAAGCGATCCTCCTGCCTCAGCCTCCTGAGTAGCTGGGACTACAGTGTGCAATAGCATACCTGGCTAATTTTTTCTATTTTTACTTGCCTGGCTAATTTTTTCCCCCTATTTTTTAGTAGAGACGGGGTCTCGCTCTTGCTCAAGCTGGTCTCGAACTCCTGACCTCGAGCAATCCTCCTGCCTCGGCCTCCCAGAGTGTTAGGATTACAGGCGTGAGCCACCGCACCTTTAATGGAGGAGTTCCAATGAGGTCTGTCTAGCACGCCCATGCTGCAAGAGGCGAGGAGTGGAGCAGGTCTATGAGAGAGGGACCGGCCTCTCGTTGCTAGCCACTGGGACTTTTTTATCCTCAGACCCTCAGTGAGCAGCAGACAGGGGCTTCGAGAACATTCCTACAGACATACTGTACCTCCCGTCAGGGTTCCCGAGGCCTTGGCGATTTCCCCTTCGAAGATGCACTGGGCGTCTAATAGCATCGTGATGTCCTTCACGCCGCGGAAGGAATGGATCCGAGATTTATTGTAATTCCAGATCCTGATCATGGCGACGTGGCAAGGGTACGCGAAGTCGACGGCGACGGAGTGGGACTTGCCCGGCGTGAAGGGGGCCAGCCAGACGTGCATGTCGTCCTGGGTCCTGTTCACCCCGTCCACGAGGTTGGTGACCACACGGGGGTCCTTCCCGTAGGCCGGTAAGATGTTGATGTCGGGGGGGTCTGCTTTAATGTCTGCAATCGGCACCGGCTCTCCCTTGGAACTGAATATTTCTATCCCGTTGAGGCCCACATAGTGTCTGTCCCCCCACGTGGACTGGATGTGGATGACCAAGTGCTGTCCGTAAGGCAAGACGGGGATCTTAAAGTCACCCCCGTCATCCGTCTCCGCAGGGCAGCCCTCCTGCCCTCTCGGCGGCTCGGGCGGCTCGTCCTTCCAGGGTGGCGGCTGGTCGCCGAGCCGGCCGCTCCTCTGCTGCTGCAGGAGCTCGTCCAGGACGTCCCCCGGGAAGCCCGCGTTGGAGATGCGCCCCCGGTGGGAGCGGTCGAAGGCACTGAGGGAGCTCCAGGACTCGTGCAGCATGTGCTCCTGCTCACTGTGCCACTTCGGCCGCGGCGGCCTCCTGGCGGCCCAGGTGTCTTCTGGAAGAAAGGACACGGGAGGGGAGACGCCCTGTTAGCAGCACGTGTGGAAGTGGGGGCCCCTGGAGACGGTCTCATAGAGCAGCTCTCGGCTAACAGGGCCACCTGGGGGCGGGGGCTGGTGCATTCTAGAAACCTGGGGGGCTGCGCTCGGCTGCCTCGTTGCCAGAGAGGCCCTCCTGGCGCTTGACGCACGGGGCGGGGGTCGGTACATCCTGCGCTGCTCGGGGCGGTCCTGGCACGGAGCGTGGGCTCCTGTCCCACACAACTTTTGACTGTCCTGCTGGACACTAAGGCTGGTAAAAATAATGATTTATGGCCACTCAAGTCTACAGCCTGGTTGTTTCTACAAAAAACAAAGTATTTTTGATAGACTCTGAATGTTCTCAGAATGCAACTGTCATGACCGGGGCCAACGCAGCTGCCCGGGGCTCCTGAGTCAGCGACATGAGGGTTCGCGCCCGAGGCTGACACAGTCACGTGACTCAAATGGCGCTTCAAAGACGATTTAATGGCAGGTGGAAGGCTCATAAAAGAATGTTAAATGGAAGAAAGCCAGAAATGTAATTTCAGATGCGGCACATCCTAGTACGGGTGACATGCCCCAGTGTGCTAACAGCGATGTTCATAGTTTCTGAGTGCTGAGTCGGAAGGAAGGACTTTTATTTTCTTCTTTGCAAGTTTATCTTCTAAGTTCCCTATGTGTATTGCTTTTATTATTTTATTTTATCTTATTATTATTTTTTTTTTAAAGAGAGACAGGGTCTCGCTCTTGCTTAGGCTGATCTCGAACTCCTGATCTCAAGCGATCCTCCCACCTTAGCCTCCCAGAGTGCTAAGATTACAGGTGTGAGCCATCGCGCCTGGCTTTTTTAAATTTAATTTTATTATTCTTTTTCTTTCTTTTCACTTTTTCTGGCCATGGGCAGTAGAACGTGTATTGCTTTTATAACCAAGAAAGAATGCTATTAAAAAAGCCAGCGCACCAGGTATATTACAAGGCAGGGGATTTCCTTCTCCACGTGGCTGAGCCCGTGTCCCAAGCACGTGGAGGGCGCGGGCCCAGCCCTCAGAGGGACAGCTCTGCAGGCCTCACTCTCCTCCTCGGAAAATCGAACAGCCCCAGCGTGCACATCAAGCAGGGGCCTATGCTCACAGCCATGTGACGGCCAGCCCCCATCTAAGGGTGTCATTCTGGAAAAACAGCAGCTGATGACACTGACATTCTGTTTTTTCTGCTTTCATATCGTACTGTGCACTCCATTTTCTGCCTGTCTCCTAGGGGGCTTGGCGCCATCAATTATCTCCTCTCTCCAGAATCTTCAATCACTCCTTCCCCACTGGCACCTTCCCCTCTCTCTGCCTGCAGACATGCATACATCTCTCCTCCCTAAAAGAGAAGAAAGGAAAAGCAAGCTGCCCTGCTCCTGTGGCTCCCTCCGACCACTGTCCTATTTTCTCTCTGCCGCTCAGAGACTCTGCCTCCCCCCACTCCCAGCTTCTCCCAACCCCCTGCCACCTGGTGCCTCTTCCCAGTGTGATTGTTTTACCCACTGAAACTCCACGTCCCCCTCTCCTGGGAGCAACACCCTGGTCCCCCCACTTCAGGCCATCTAGGTCAGTGCTGATGGCATCTTTCCAAGCTACGCTCAGAGGGGCTGTCTTCAAACTGGCGGTGCTAAGCTGGCAGGATGGAGGAATGGCATTGCCAGGGGCCATGTTGCTACACTGTGGGGAGAACCAGCCAACCTGAGAATGAAGCTGACATGGGGAATTGAGCCCAGAGTCCTGATGACATCATTTGAGCTCCTGGATCCAGCCGTGCCTGAAGTCAACCTCCTGGCGGCTTTCTGTCCTTTGAATTTACAATAGTCCCACAGTTCCCTCAGCCCTCCACTGAAACGGCTTTCTCCAGGTGAACGATGACCCCCCAGGCTTTGTCAGTCCTCATTCCGTGCTTGACACCCTAGGCAAAGCTCTTCCACTTCGTGTGCCCGCCACTGGCTTAGGAGGTGCTGTAACCCCCTGGTTCTCTGCCTCCCCCACTGACAGCTCCTCTCTCTCCACCATCACAGTGCCACCCTTCCATGCCCTCAGTCTGAGGGTGGCTCAAGGCCCTGGGCCAGTCCTCTCCCGACACTGCCATCCCTTGTCACCCTCTTCTGGCGCCTGGCTCCCAGGGAGGTACTGCTCAACTTAGCACATCAAGTTCTGCCTTCTCTACCCAGGGACGATCTTCTAATTCCACCATCCTTGGGGGGCCCAGACATGTCCGCTCTGTCACTTCAGTCTCCACGTGCCTGAAACAGAGTTTGTCATGACCCCTCTAGCTGGCATTGCCTCTCTTGCCCCGAGTGAGAATCAAGACAACCCAACTCAGCATGCCCACAGGGCCGAGTGTGGCCTTGCTGACTTTGCAGCCTCCCCTCCCCCTCCCCCAACAACCATCTGCTCCAGCCACGCTGGCCACCTGATCATGGACACATGGACACACCCAGTCCCTTTGTGCCCCTGCCAGAAATGCTCTGCATCCAGGTGCCCACTTAACTGGCTTATCTTGTCACCTGCCTCCTTAGGGAGGCCTTCTCTGCCACCTTGTCCTTGCCCCCTGATGTGTACCAGTGCCTAGCACAGCACCTGGCATCTGGCACCTGGAAATGCCAGTGAAGGGAGGGACTGCTGGCACCATCCCTTCTGCACCCCCTGGGATCAGGCCTGGAGGCCAAGGGACACCGCCTTTACCTGTCAGTTCTCTTGCACCTGTCCTCTCCCCTCCCCTCCTTCTCATCTGCCATTTAAAAAGATACCAGAAGTTTCTTCCATCCTTTCCTCCCAGGCACGATGCTTAACATCTGGCAGAAAGCACTACCCATACGGGTCACCATGACTTCAGTTTATGTGATCTGATTCCACCGACTACAACGAATGGCCTGGGTCAATTTGCAAGTGCATGGAGGAGACAGCAACGTCACGTGTCAGGGACTCAGCCTGTGCTTCCTCTGCCTGGGAGTGTGAGACAGGCGGGGCTTTGCTGTCATTCCGTGTCTGCTTTCTAACCTATTCTCCCTGAGTTGCATACTCTGGGTTTAAAAGCAGAGAAGTGTAGCCTTGCTCCTGGACCTCTTAGATGTGATAGCTGGGGGCCCTGTGTCTCTCTGTCTGCAGAACACGCTACTCGCCACTCGTCGGGTGTTGGGGAGCTGCTGGGATCAGTGCTTTGTCCTGTCATTGCCAACATTTCTATCTACAATCTGGACAGACAGCAGAAAGCTGCTGCTTCAGTCTCCAGTCAACACAGTCTGGGAGGGACCACCAATTATGACGGGATCAAAGATGCCAAAACACTCCTGGGTTGAGACTAATAGGAACCATGCAGCTCTGAATTTGAGTTTATCAAAATCGGCTACACCACCACGAGATATGCTATTAAAATAGGAAATGAAAAAGTACATAGAAAGATATAACAGAGCCATGTTTATTCTAATGAACTGCCCTCCAGCCATTACTGATTGGACAGGCACTGGACACTTGACCCGAGTAGACCAATCGGCTTCTCCCCTGAGACTGTGGAATTGGTTGCTGGAAGAAGAGTTAGGACATAGGCACTCTAGGGCTGTGAGGCAATTTCCTGCCATGTAAATGGAGTATAGAAAACCAGTCTCACGAGGAAAATGAGGAAAAGCGGACCCACAGAGAAGCAGAGGTAGGGTCTAGCAGCTCTGGAAAGACGGGGAGAGGCTTCCTTGGTTCCCTGGCTTCCTAGCTACTCGTTCTGGTTCTGTGATGAGTGGCTGTACTTCCTGTGTTTGGGGTTGAGGAGCTCTTTGAGCTTTCTCCAAATAACACTCAGTTTACTGCTCAAGCTGGGCTGATAAGATCTCATTTACCTAGAGCCAATGGACCCCTCTGAAATGCAGATGACATTCAGTGAGACTGCTCTGTTGGGCAAAAGGATTCCCAGACTCTCTCTTATGGTGACAACACAAATCCAGTCCCCGGGAAAACACTTGGGCACTCATTCATTCTGCCAGTGTTGTTGGAGGGCTTGGCCTGCACCTTTCCTGAAGGGCAAAGCTATGGGATTTGGCTCTAGGTAATGGAGAGTTTAAAATTTCTAAGCAACTTTCCTTTTTAGCATGACCAGCTTAACAAGCATTAAATCTCGAGGGCTCAGTATTTAATGTGTCATTGAAGCAAGCACTGAAATGCCTAGAAAGAAATTAAAGTGAGACAAAGTCTTCTGAAGTTAGAATAATGCCCGACATCCTGGAACTCCCAGAGGCTGTGTGTTTGTGTACTGGGAAAGCCTGCAATGGCCTGGCTGTCGCGGGGTGGGTGGCTGGCGACAGCTGTGTTAACAGGGCACCGTAGAGATTTGAAGCATGTGTGTTGGAGCTGGCCAGCCGGGGTTGGAATCATGCTCTAACCCTTACTGTCTATGATCAGAAGGAAATACTGAAGCCTTGCAGTCTCTTTATCTGTAAAGAGGGTTCACTGTCGTGAGGCTTAGGGTTCACTCAGGTAACATGCCTGGCCCACGCCATGCATGTGGTCGTCACAGGTCCTTCTTACCATCCTCCCTCCCATTCTACAGAGGACCTGCCATGAGCCAGGCGCCTACCCTCAGAGCTTCTTGATTCTTCTCTTCCGTTCCGCCCTTCTGCCTGGCACCCAGCCTCTGTGTTAAGTCTGAGAAGGGGTGAGTCGCAAAAATCTGTAAGGCTGGGGAACCCGAGGGGCCAGCCCTGCACAGGAAGACACTCAGAGTCGGAGGAACTTGCTCCAGTATCCCAAGTGACACATCAGGCGTCTGTCTACCAGACATTCCCTAACCGAGTAGATGCCGATTGGATTCATTAAAAAATACGTGCAACAGTTTCGCATACAGACACACCACCTAGAGGCAGAACCAGTGTGGGGTGATGGTGATGATGACAGTAACAGTGACAGCTGACATCTCTGGGATGCTCCAATGGGCCAGACACTGTGCCACAAGCTGGGCAAGTATGATCCCATCTGATCCTCCTAGCACTCCAATGGGTACTATTAGCGACATCTTACAGATGAGGAAACTGAGGCTCAGAGGAGTTTCAGAACCTGCCCAAGGGTGGATTAGAGGTGACAGAGCCAGGATACATGTCCAAGCAGTCTGATTTTAAGGGCTTGAGCTCCCCTGTGGTGTGTGCTGGGCTTAAATTCAGAGGACCTAGGGGTGAGCTCTGGCTTGGCAGGTCTGAGTGCTCCGTGGCGGGCAAAGGACGTCCACGTCTGAGCTAACGTTGCAATAACAGCCACCACTCACCGAGCACTCTCCACATGCCACGCCCTGGGTCACCATTTTGAAGCCATCATCTTATCCATTCCTTGAAACACTAAGGGCAGTGGGGCTCATTCCCATTTTATAGATGAAAACACTGAGGCTCAGGGAGTGGAGCACCTGGCTACAGGTCGCAGATCTATAAGTAGCCGAGCTTGGACTCAAATGGTTTGACCCCCAGGGCTGCGCCGCGCTCCTTCCCAGGAGCCAAATCTGAGTGCAAATATTTAGACTCCCAGCCTTCGCCAGATCCTCCTTTCAGAACCGGGAGCGTCCAAGGAGATAATCTACTGCAAAGTTCACAGAGCTCTCACCGCGAGTCCTGCCGACAGCTGTGACTTTTGGGACACACATGGTGGTTTATAAATAATTTCAATGAGTTGCCAATGTTGAGACATAAGAACAATTCCACATTTCTAGCTTCTCTTGAAAAAAAGGGAGAGGGGAAGTCTGGCACGCTGGCCTTGCATTCGTGAGTGCCGACAGGAAGCCCGAGTGGAGCAGCGGGCGTCCCCTTGGGGGGCTGGGCTTTCCAGTTTGCCAAACTCCCCACCACTCCCTGTGCTACTCCTGACACGCAGGCAAACATCCCTCGCTATGTGTCCTCACACTTGTGTTATTTTCTAACAGTGCAGTGAGAACGAAGTGAAGTAATTAGAGGCCGATGTCTCTATTAAAGGTAGAATAACAAAGTCTAGATGGAAAAGCCATGCATTGTAAGAAAAATGGGCAAAGGAACATATCTTGGTGGTAATGACAGGTGTATCTATGAGTTTATCATGCAAAAGTGTGTCTTGCCCATTTCACTCATTTAGGCCACCTCTGTGGCCCCTGAGACAGTGAATTTGTGACCCCTAGCTGAGAACAATCCCGTCTTACAGATGAGGGGACTAAGGTCCAGGGAGGCTGAGGGATAACGCCAGGACAAGCTGCTTCCTGGAGCTTACCTCTGCTGGCCGGTTGGCTGTCGCCACGGCTACCACTGACGGCATCCTTCTTCATGCTCCTCCTCCCGCTAGCAGGGCGCTCCCTGGTGGGGGGCTGGCTAAAGATGTCTAAGTCATCACCACACACTTTGGGGCTTCCCCTCTGTGGTCTGTCCCCAGCGATGGCATTCCAGCTGGTCACCTGCCCTTGCTCATGCCAGGGGCCTTTATCACCAGCCTCGGTCTCTCCAGGCCCTTCACCAATGACATCCGACAGGAGCCTGCCCTTCCGGTCCGGGGGCTTCTCTGGACTGAGCCAGAGGGGTTTGGGCTTCCCGTCTTCCTGCTTCCTGCCTTTCCCTGCGGGAGAAGGTTGCAACCAGGATGGAGTTTTCCCAGGTGGCTCGGAGATTTTTCTGCCTGTGAGGTTTTCCAGTTGTTGGACCAGGGAGGGCTCCTCGTCAAGAGGAGGGCACCCCCCACGTGGGGAGGTGGCAGGGGCACCGGGCGGGTCACCCATCGAAGCAGGGGCTGCCAGCAGTCTTAAATCTTCCTCTAACTTGGACAAACTGTCTCTCATGCAATTAGTAGAATTCATCCTTTCGCTGGATAAATCACCTTGTGAAGAAAGCGTCACAGCCACTAATGCTTCAGCTGGCTGCGAGCAACTGAGACTGGGCTCCTTGTCCCCATCTGTGCCAGGCGTCTTGGGGGCAGCCCTGCTTTCCTCTGAGCGATCACTCACGGTGATCTCTGCTCGCTCGCCGTCCTCCCTCTTCAGGCCGACCGGGATGCTGTGGTCCGCGGGGGCGTCCCCACCTCCTTTGTCTAACTCGCCATCAAAGATGAGGTTTTTGTTGACATAAAGCTTCACGTTCTTGGCACCAACATTGAGATCCTGAAAACACAAAATTTAACACAATGAAGATGCCTGGCATCAGCCCGATGTATCAGATTTTGGAAGTAGAAGACACCAAAAAAGGAAAAATGTAAAATGCTAGAAACGTGAGCTTTATAAAAACCCCAGCACTGGGGGTGTGAAACAAGGCTTGGCCTCATTTCTGTGCGAACTGCTACATACTCTATAAATCAAAGGACTTTCGCAAAGGGACGGCCTCAATCGCTGTCTTCGTCATCATTACTGCCTGGCGGGACATTTGTAACAGCCTACTAATTGGTCTCCCTGCTTCCCAGCTCTTGCTAACTTCAACCTCAACTTCACATTGCCACCAGAGTTCATTTTCTCCAAGAGCAGATCTGCCCAGTCATCCCCCTTTGTGATTCCCTCATGTTTTTTCACAGCGGACAGCGACGGGTCTTTAAGCATGGTACCTGGGCCGTCTGAATTAGAAGAGCCTGGCGAGGCTGGGTGTGGTGGCTCATGCCTGTAATCCTAGCACTCTGGGAGGCCAAGGCGGGAGGATTGCTCAAGGTCAGGAGTTTGAGACCAGCCTCAGCAAGAGGGAGACCCCAGCTCTACTAAAAATAGAAAGAAATTATCTGAAGAACTAAAAAACCATAGAAAAAATTAGCTGAGCATGGTGGCGCATACCTGTAATCCCAGCTATTGGGACGCTGAGGCAAGAGGATGGCTTGAGCCCAGGAGTTTGAGGTTGCTGTGAGCTAGGCTGACGCCACTGCACTCTAGCCTGGGCAACAGAGTCAGACTCTGTCTCAAGAAAAAAAAAAAAAAGAAGAAGAGCCTAGTGTATGTATGAAATGCAAGCTCCCTCGTGTGTCATAATCTGGGTGCCCTGAAAGCAAAGCCAGAGAAAGGATTCGGGGTGCAAGTAGCTTATTTAGTGATTCCCAAGGGGACGTGGAGAAGGTAAGACAGGGCAGGAAAAAAACACAAAAACTTTCAAGCCGGCCATCCTGTGGCCAGCTAGGGCTCCTTCCCACTGGGGCCCACGGAGGAACCCAAAGAATGAACGCCCCTCAGAAATGCCCCTCCAAAGGCCAGGGCGTTTCCCCACTGCTTGTTGAAGGCAGCTCTGCGGGGCGCTGATGCTCCCATGATGAGCACGCTGAGCCCACCCCCATGACAGAGGGCCTGGCTGCACCTGGGGTGGAGCACTGTCCCCACCTCGGGGACAGGGGAGGCAAGGGGATGTGCCGTGGGGACCCCTGCCTCAGGGGCGGTCGCTAGGGAGTCTCCAACAAGTTCTCTAGACGACTCCTTTGCAGGAGGAGGTGGAGAACCCAGGACGATGGGATGACTTCCAATCCCCTGGGCATGACGCATAGTGACCGTCACCGAAGGGCCCCATCTAGCTGTGTCCTGTGCCCCTATGTCGCACAGGTGTTCACCCTTCCTCTGTTTACCCTTAAAATAAAAATCACTCTTCCTCCTGCTACTGTGTCTCGTCTCCTTTATGGCAAAACTCTTGGCTTTGTTTTTTGGTACAGCTTTATCGACAGAGATAATATACACCTTAGACCATAACCTGTGCATACAGGGAATAACTTGGTAAGTTTCAACACATGTGTACACCCACTAAACCACCTCCACTCTCAAGAGAACGAAATGCCCATCACCCCAAAGTTTCCACGTTCCCCTTGGCAACCCCTCCCCCGCCTCCCGCCCCAGCCCCAGGCCACCCCCAGCAACTTTCCCTCCCTACCCATTGTTTGCCTTTTCTAGAAATTTCATGTGAAGGATCATGGCAAGAAAATACGTCCAGAACCACACCGGCTCTATAAGCAAACAGGCAAAAAAGCACTTAGTATGCACGTCTTTTTTTGACTGACTTCCCCCCTCAGCTACTATCTGAGTTTTCTATCAGTTGTTGTGTGAATCGCAAGTCTTTTTCCTTTTTATGCGCTGTGGAATATTCCATCTGCACGGGGTCGCCACACCGATTCGTCCTGTCAAGCCTGACAGGGAAACTCGAAGAGTTCCTGGCGGCCCCTCCTCCCATCGTCCACGGGCTGCTGCCTCTGCTCCCCACGGAGCCACAGGTAGGGTGAGGGACTGGTCCTTGTTTGTCCCTGGGACAATTCTGATTGACGACCTTTATTCCTTGTGTAGATCACTGTAGAGTCACTCCTTTCACTTTCTCAGGGGCAGACGTCCGGTTCTCTGACCATAAATTACGGGTGCCGGCCGACCCGCCGCAAAGCCATGAAAATTCTCGGTCCTTCAGCAGTGTAGCGGCGCCAGCAAGTAATTGTCAGTCAGCCCGCCTCCTCCTCCTTGCCTGGATTTCCTTCCATGGGCTTCATGTGGGTTCTGGCGCAGCCTGGCTCCACCCACACATTTCCTCACTGCCCCCTCGGCTGCCGCCCCTGCCTCGGCTCCTTTGCCCGGGTCCTCTTGCCTTCGCTGGAGCACCACCCGGCTCCAGCCTGGGGCTCCCGTGAGCGCCGCTCGCCTAGCTGCGTCCCACGCCGGCCTCTGAGCCCCGCCACTCCGTGTCATGACTGGCCAGTCATTTTAACTCTGCACCCCCCAGCCACTCCGCTACGTGACCACTTCGACGCCCTCTTCCTGGCTATCGACATGGGTATCTCAACGCTTAACGCGCCCAAAGCAAAATTCTTCTTTTGTTTTTTTTTTCTGAGGACTAGAGTCTTACTTCTCTTGCCGCAGACTAGAGTGATGCAGTGGCGCTCAGGCCTGGCTACAGCACCTCACAAACTCCCTGGCTACAAGGCCGATCCTCCTGCCCTACAGCCCTCGAGGCAGCCTGGGACTACAGGGCATGAGCACCACCATGGCCTGGCTAATTATTTTTTGTATAATATATATTCTTTAGTTGGTCAATTAACATTTCTTCTATATTTTGGTAATGACAGGGTCCTGCTCAGGCTGCGTTTTGAACTCGCTCGACGCATCGAGCAACTTCCGGACCCGCCTCGGCCTTCCCAGAAGTGCTAGGATTACAGGCGTGAGCCACCGCGCCTGGCCCCCAAACAAATTCTTAATCACCTTTCCCCAGACCCTAGTCTTCTCCACTTAGATCTGCCAAGAAACCAGGAGCCGCCTCAATCTTTCTCGCTTTCTCGCTCACATGTCCGTCTGCAGCAAGCTCCCTCTGCTCCATCTCCAAAGCTCACCCGACTCGGACTTCCTTCTCTCCAGCCTCCTTCATCCAGGGCCACCGTCGCCCTCCTAATTGGACTCTCGCTTCCACTCTGGGCTCTCCCGCCCTGCACACACGCTTCATTTCTACACAGCGGCAGTTGTTTTGTTTAACACCAACTTAAATCGGATCACGGTGGCCTCCTGCTTAAAGCTGCCCAGTGATTTCGACGACAAATCCTCACCCCCTCCGGGGCCCTGCCGACCTCTCTGGCTCCGGCTCCTGGCGCGTCTCCCCGCTCACTCCGCGCAGACACGCCGGTCTGACCGCTGTGCTTGACGCTGCCAAGCTCGGTCCTGCCTTCGGACCTGCGCACTTGCCTGGAACATTCTGCCCCAGGTGCTGGCGGCCTTGCTCCATCTTGTCTTCGGTGACTTCTCCTGCCCACCCCTCTGGAGTGGCCCCCGCCCTGTGGGTCCCCTCCCCATCACACTGCCTTGTGTTTGTTCCTTTTCCTCTCTGAAATGGTCCTATCAGCTTTCTAACTTATTTATTATCTCTCCCGCTCAAAGTGCAAGACAGCCGAGGCCCTGCCAGTCTCACCCAGGGGCCGGCACAGCACGCTTATGTTGGAATTAATAAACGAATACGCTCGGGCAGCTCCGCTCTCTCACAGTGTTCTAAGAATGCGCCTGATTGGGAAAACGGTGGCCTGCTGCTGTCACCTCCAGGCCATTTCCATCTTGCTTTAGCTTCTGATCTGCTCTTGGGATACGGGATCCCAGACCCTAGAGATGTCCACCTATATTTGTTCCCCTCCTTAGCCTTCCTGAAAGCGAGGGGGCTAAGCGCTGGCTGACTTTCGGCACCACTGAGTCGCGGAGGTTTCCGTAGCAATCGCGAATGAGAACCACCCAGCCTGCGTTATGCCACGGGAGCTCGGCTTCAATCATCCAATTGCAGGATGGCAGGCTACTATTTGTCGACTGTCAAAAAAGTCGATGCTCAAAGCACTCTTCTACATGTTTATACGGCTACGTTCTCTGTTTAGCAGAGGCGCAGAGCAAACGCGTGCTGTGAATTCATCAGGAACCGCTATTTGAGGAGGACATCACAGGCAGCTTTCAATGACTGGTTCCACAAAATTACTGCCACGGAGACATCTGGTGAGACAGAAACACCCTCACTGAAGGAGGTGGAGTGTGGTGGGGACGCCGTCCAGTCCGCGCAGTCCCGGGGCGGCATGCTAGCTTTCCTGATGGGCTTTAACCTCCCGAGACACAGGTTAAAGCCGCATCTGCCTTCCAGCCATCTGCTGCCCAGCTCCCACCGCGAGGCCTGGCCGACAGGGGACCCGGAGAGGGAGGCAGGCTGGGGCGGGGTCAGGAGCAGGGAGCACAGCGGGAGGGCAGGAGGCAGGGGAGGCGCACGCCCTGCCTGATGGCGCCGAGAGCAGACACATTTCCCGCACTCTGCGGCCACACGAGCCACATCTGCGGTGGATGTGGCCCCCCGATCACCAGAGTAGGATCCCGGGGAGGAACAAGTGCTCATCACTTGCCTGGATATTCTAAGGTTAAAAAATACAAGACTGCATTGTCCTAGTTCATCCTCGGAACAACTCTGCAAGGTGGGCATTAGCTCCATCTTACAGATGAAGAAACTGAGGCACATGCCTTCCCCAAAGTCACACAGCTAGGGTGCAGTGAGCTGCTCTGGCTGGCATGCCTGAGGTCTTCACCGCCACCTCCTTCTGGGTCAAGCTACGAGGGTCCAAGCTTACGGGAGAGCTTGGACCCAAGAGGCCTTGCGTTCTGCCTGTGCAGCGTCTGGCCCACTGGCAGAAGCACCCGCACCAGGTAGAACTCTGAGC